CTCTCTTCCTGACTTGCAGACAGCTGCTTTCTGGCTGTATCTTCACATGACACAGAGAGAAGGATGTGTTACCTGTGGTCACTGTCACTTTAGTCTGAATTTGCTTCAGTTCAATTGTATAGTGCATCAACTCACTGGAGTATTTTTTAACCATAATTGTGGTTGAGAGAATGTTTCATGCTAGTGATATGTTACCCCAAATTATGATACAAAATTTGTGCATTGTAAAGTAGAGTGGAATCGTGTTAAGAATTTATACTTGAGAGTTAGTACTGGATATGTTAGTTAACTTTCCCCAAACTCAAGTTTCTTCATCTGTAAAGTAGGAATAATAGCACTTGCCTCCTGCCAGTGGTTGTGAGGGTTAAATAAGGTAAGTTATTAAAGGTCTTAGTACAGTACCTACCACATACAAGTACCTGATAAATATTTGTTATAATACTTGTAATTATGTGAAATTATGCGCATTTTAACCCTGGAAAAGAATATATAGTAATGATAATTGTATTAGGACAGTGAGTTAATCCACATTAATTTCTAAGTATTCTGTAATGTTATTTTTATTATAATGTAATATAAATATTTAAGTTATAATAAGTCATTTAAAATTAGTATATGTAAATTTTAACATATTGTTAAAATATGTTTGTATTTAAATATGTCTCAGGATGTATTCCTGTTCCACATTGATAAAACATATAGATATCTGTTATATATTGGTATGTGTTTGAGTTGGAGTCCGACAGAAGAATGACATTAACAGCCAACTGTGATGATTTGAACACATACTAAGATCATTTGGTTCTGAAGTTGACTAAATACAACAGCTAAGTATTGAGTTAGCCAGAAAAGTTCTTTTGATTTTATCTGTAACCTAACCCTAGTAGTACTTCGTTGTCTTTAACTTCATTCGAAACAATTTTGCTAGATCGTATTGTGGCAGCTGCCATATCAGTGTGCATTTAAAAAAACTTACCAAAATTGGTGAATTTGGTAAAACTTACCAAAATTGGTGAATTGGTGAATTTTGGCTGCACCAAAATTGGTGAATTTTGGTGCAGCCATTTTAATATTGAAAATGGAAGAAAAGAGGCAACATTTTCGGTATATTATGCTTTTTTATTTCAAGAAAGGTAAAAACGCTATTGACACGCAAAAAAAGATTTGTGCAGTATATAGAGAAAGTACTGTGGCTGATCCAACATGTCAAAAGTGGTTTGCAGAGTTTCATGCTGGAGATTTCTCTCTGATGCTCCATGGTCAGTAGATCACTTGAAGTTGCTAGTGATCAAATTGAGACATTAATTGAGAACAATCAATGATATAACACATGGGAGTTAGCTGACATACTCAAAATACCCAAATCAATAAAGTTATTGGTGGAAATGAAAGATGTGTCTCATTTTACGGAAAAAACCATGCTGACTCTTTGGCCAACCCAATAACGTGGCTCCTATGCCCTATTCATGTTGGCTTTGTGTTTCCCCATCACCCACTGGTTTTCACTTTTTCACAAATAACCAGGAAATAACCTTTCCTGGTTATGTACTCTGGCTAGAATGCTCATCTCTGATCTTTACTATCGTGTAGATAGCCCTTTAAGTGTTACTGCCTCTCTCTGCCTACATGGCAACTCTACTGCCACTGTATCGTCCCTTCCTATTTTGTTCTCTGCATGGCTCTCTGATATTTTTATATGTTTCTTCCAAAAGACTGTATGGACCATACGAATAGAAATTTTGTCTTGGATTTCATAACAAATCCCTAGCACCTGGAAAAACACAGTAGGCATTCAATATGTAAATATTTTGACTAAGTGAATAAATGATGAGTATCTCCCATTTCTAAATGAACACTTTTATATAGCTACACAAAAATACTTGTTTTTTTTCCTCTTATACCGTGGGTATTTCCTTGGTGTCTTTAATGTGTGCCATTATTAGCAGTGATCAGTGATCGAAGGACCAGATAGTAAATATTTTAGGCATGGAGTCTGTATGGCAGCGAACTACTCAACTCAACTGTTGTAGTGAAAGCAGCCATAGACAATGTGTAAATGAATAGGTATGGCTATATTTCAGTAAAACTATAAAAATTGGTCTGCAGCCTATAGATTGTAATTTGGTGACTGCCGTAGACCACAAACCCACTCCAAGGGTATGGGGCAAGACCCAGACCTGGATTGCCATGGGGGAGGAAGAAAAGGCACAGTGAGCATCTGGTAGACCCACGCTGGCAAGGAGGATGGGACTGGTGGAGGCATTAGGAAGGAGTCTGGATCTCTATGGATGTAGATTTGTGAGGAAATGGATGTATAAAGATTTGGGGGCTTTTCACATGCAAATCATGTTATTCATAGATATTTTTGAGCTACAAATAGCAAGTCAGATCTCAAGACAGGGCAGCAGTTCAAACAGAGCTCTAGTCAAAAGCCAAGGCTGGCATTTGAGTTATAAATATACAATGAACTGATAATTTGTTGGTCATTTAGATCACAGGTATAGACTTGGGGATATGCTATGTCATTGCTAAAGATTTAAACCCAGCATAATCAATTGAGTAGAAGAGTTATTTTGACTCCTTGTTTGATACCTTAAGTGATTAGATAGATCTTCAATCCAAGGACCTTTTTACCTAATAAATCTCTTTGTTTTACATCCCCTACAATGCTACTTGGATGTGGAGGAGTAATGGGGAAAGATATATATGCCTGAAAAAATACAAGGACATCTCTGGAAAGATTCACATACACAGAAAAACAACAAACCTGGGCCGTGGGGAGACTGAAGGACAGCAGAGGAGATTCCCCTTGCACAGACTATCCTTTTTGTACTTTTGAATTTTGGACTGTGTATACATATCACTTAGTGGGAAAAGGCAAATAAAACTTGAACAAAAGCTATTCAAATTAAGAGGTTCATTTGTTCTGTTTTGTGACCAAGGGTCTATAAGTCTTTTTCAATTTCTATAGAATGTGTATATTTTTACATATTATTAACTGTAGTCAGCCTGCTGTGCATTACATCTCCATGACTTACTCATTTTATAATGGAAAATTTGTACCTTTGTACCTCTTTCACCCATTTTTCCCACTCTACCCCTAACCCCCATGTCCCCTACCTTCCCACCTCCGGCAATCACCAACCTGTTCTCTATATCCATGAGCTCGGGTTTTTGTGTTTAGATTCTACATATATAAGTCAGGTTGTACAGCATGTGTGATTTGTTTCACTTAGTATGATGCCTTCGAGGCCCATCTAATGTTGATGCTAATGGCAAGATTTCATTCTTTTTATGGCTGAGGAATATTCCATTGTATACTTGTGTGTGTACATATCTTTATGCATTCATCTTTCATTGGACACCTAGGTTGCTCCCATATATTGGCTATTCTAAATAAGGCTGCAATGACATAATTCTGCAATGAGGTGCATATGTTTTTTCGAATTAGTGTTTTTGTTTTCTTTGGATACCTACAAGTGGGATTGCTGAATCATAGAGTAGTTCTATTTTTAATTACTTTAGTAACCTCCATACTGTTTTCCACAGTGGCCGCACCATTTACAGTCCCGCCAAAAGTGTACCAGGCTTCCCTTTTCTCCATCTTTGCCAACACTTGTTATTTTTTGTCTTGTTTATAATGTCCTTAGAATATATAATTTTAAGAGTTTTTGGATTGATTCCTTTGATATTTACAAGGCATTAAGATATATAGCATATTTTTACATTAGTTAAGAGCTGTTTTCACATTCTAATTCAATAGGATTGCATTTAGTGGTATGCACCAAAACAAGGTAGATCATCTTAGGGAACAATTTACAAAATGATTTATTTAATTGTTGATTTCAAAATTAGATGAGGTCATGATTAGTGTGGCACAGTAAAAGTAGCTAACATTTCTTGGGTTGTTACCACAGTTCACATGCATTACCTATTTTAATCCTGACAAGCACTCATACAGGTAATATTATCCCTACCTTACCAGATGAGGAAGCTAAAGCTTAGAGGTGTTAAAGAACTTGCCAGAGGTCTTGAAACTTTAGGAAGTTGCAGAACCAGACTTTAAAGCAAGATGTCTTCCCCAGAGCCCATGCTAAACCAGCTAAGCAAGGTTGCTCTGTAGTTGCTTCCCCAAACAATTGCAAGTTAGAAGTTACTGCTTTAATGGAGAGTGGGTGTCAGTATAAAGTAATGAGCCTGAATTGAAAAGTTGCATGCTCTTCATTCTCTTTATTGTGCAGTCATCTCTATATTAAGACTTGTGAAATTATCATTTCTAAACACCCAAAAAGGTCTCAGCATTGGCTGAACATACATAAGAGTGATGTATGTTTATTGATAGACAGGTTTTTTCTTTTGAATTTTCTTTTTAAAATGATAATCACATGGTTCCAAAATTAGATTATATTAAAAAAATAGACATTGAAAACTTGAATTCCCATCTCTTCCAGAGCCTACTCTGCTCCTCCATTCTACCCTCAACCCCTATGTTATTTGTTTTTGTTTTCTTGTCTATCCAACTACTGTTTTACACAGAAGTGAACAAAAAGAAAAAATATGTATGTTCCTCTCTTTCAAAGGTGTAGTTTCTACAAATAGAATCTTTTTATCTCTCTCAGCTTCAGTTTTCAATGAGAAAAAAATTCTCATTACTTTCTTCCTAGTAGCTCTTCTCAGTAGTTTAGTACTTTTCATTTGGGAAGTCTAGTAAAGTGGGAGCAGGAGTTCCTGTCCCAGGAATTTTTTTAAAAAAAATTCTTAATTTAAATAGGTAGGTGAATTGCAGTAGATCACAGTATATTTGAAAATTATTTTAAGTAGGAAAAATCCCCCCAAAATAAACAGCCCCTCAATGTTTTCTGTGTTTGTATCTGATTTTGAAGGTATGATATACACTGTGGTAGCATTCATTAAAAAATAAAATGTGATCTTCCTGATGAATAGTATCCATTTTTGGTTGAGTCCAATGGCTAACTTTCCTTTCTTCTTATTCATTGTAGTTGAGGCAGTCCCAGTCCTACTGCACAGACACAGAATGTCTTCAGGAATGTAAGTAACGATGGGACAGGAGGAGGCTTGGCACTGAGGGCAGATTTAGAGGCTAGCCCTGACTGGTGTGGCTCAGTGGGTTGGGCGTCAGTACTGCAGACCTGAAGGTTGCCGGTTCAAGTCCCAGTTAGGGCACGTGCCTGGGTTGCTGGCCAGGTCCCTGGTTGGGGGCCTGCAATGTTTCTCTGGCATATCGATGTTTCTCTCTCTCTCCTTCCCTTCCCTTCTCTCTAACAATAAATAAATTAAAATCTTAAAAAATAGAATTAAAAGCCAGATAATTGTGAATATTTCTCAGACATTATTCTTACAGTTTGCTGTTTAAGAAATGGTCCCCATTGATGCATTTCCTGCTTAGGTGTTTAATTGTTAACTGAAAAAAAATGTTTTTTTTTTTTCCTGCCTCAAAAACAAACTCTGTTCATTGAAGTTAATTATAAAAATCGGGGAGAAAAAAAAAGAAAAGGAAAATCTTCCAGAATACTATAAGATAACCACTGTTGACTAACTTGCTATAATAAACACACCCAGACCTTTTTCTTGGCAAATATGCGTGTAGCGGGGCACTTCTGGCTGGTTGGACTGGAACGTTGAGGCTGCCAGCACAAACCCCTTGCTCTTTCCTTGGCATCTGTTTTCATCCACTGGCAGCTTTGAGAACGTCTGAGTAAAGGAAGAGGGCATTCTTTCCCAAGGTTTGGAAGCTCTGGGAACCTGTGGAGTCACTCCTCTGGCTGTGACATTAACATTCTCAAGAATGGGCAGCAGGGAGGTTTCTCTGTGTGTGGCTTTATGCTCAGTGGTGGTAGTACAGTGAGAATCAGAGCAGGAAGACTTGGGGGCCATTATGTTAGGCATCTTTTTTCAGGACAAGTAACTTGAGGGATACTTTGGAGGAACTAAATAACATTGGAGCTATTCCAGTCTTGTGCTGTAACTCAACTGTTAAAGAATGGAAGTACGACATTCACAGGATATTATAGTGAGCCTGGCACAATCATAGTTCATAGACACTTAAACTAATTGGATCGCTTTATGTGTTTTGTTTTTCACTTTGGCATGATGAATATATCAGCATACATTTATCTTAAAAATATTTACTGACTACATAATAATCTGTTATGGGGATGCACCAGTATTTAAATGACTCCCTTTTGTTGGACTCTTAGGTTCATGATACATTTTTTGCTCTTAAAGCAATACTTAAACATCCTTTGTATGCACATTTTAGGGCTTTTGACATAATGCTAAATTGCATTTATTTACAGGCTAGGTGGTTTATATTTAACATCTGAAGCTGAGCTCCATTTTATTATATATATATGAAACGAAAACAAATCACAGTAAGGGCCCATTACAAAAGAGCTTGTTATTGCATTATTAGTTGTTAATGCAGTGTGAACTGGGTGTCCAATAAAATTCTTTAATATAACAGAGAAATGGAAGCTGGTACAGTGCCTTGTCCAAAGTAGGAATTTTGTTAAAACATAGTCCATTGGTACAACAGGATAATTACTGATAATTTTATGTCTCTGGACAAGAAGGTGATGGCACTGTGCAGATGTTGTGTTACGCTGTTAGGAGGGATGGTGGTTCCCCCACTTCACGGTCCTTTATATTGCATGTTCAGTAGCATTTATTAATCTCTAATGTGTCCTCTGATAAGCAACTCAATTTTTTGAGTTGGCAGGTAAAGCTAAAATGTGTTCATGTAGTCAAAAATAATCTTACTGAACTTACAGGGAAACTAGTGTTTATTATGTTGTGATACTTGTGACCCTTGATCCAGCTCCACCTGTAAACGGATATGCTCTTAATTTCTGAGTGAAATTTCACTTCCTTAATTTAAATACAAAGGTGAGCTTTAGATCTTGAGTATTAATTTAGTCATATTGTTACAGAACAATCCTGGAGGGAGGGGTATGAACGATATACATTTACCAAATGGACCCCCCCTTCTCCTGGGGTCCCCCTGTACTAGGTTCACCTTGCCCACCACCAGGGAATTATAGTTCTCAATGTCAGAGATTGGTGCAAAGGAAAGGAATTATTTGTTCAAAAGTTATACAGACTTAAGAGTAATGACTTAATATGTTATTAAGATTCCACTGTCCTAAAAACACCCAGAAACACACACAGTCCTTCCTCTCCCCCTTTTCTGAGTCAGGGGTACTGTATCTTGGGAAAAGAAAAGAAGTCTGTGGCTCAGGTAGCCCCTGGTTCTTCCCAGTAATCCGTGCTGGGCTGGCAGGCCTCCCTCAGTTCCCCGCACCATCAGTTGTATCACCGCTGCGATCACCAGTTCTTAATCCAAACTGGCGTGGCACCTTCTCATGGCCCACCAGCAAGAGTCCTTTCACCCCTTTCCTTCCTGCAGCATATCTCCTGCATTCTTCCAAACTGCTAAGAGAGAGCTCTGTATCGCTGCTACATCTTGCTTCCCATTTCCTAAGCTGCGTGGCAAAGGGAACACCCAAAGCCGCCTGGTTCTGACTCACCGAGAGGTCCACCCTTTCTCTGCCAAAGCTGCGTGGTCCCTTCTTGCTCTCGCCAAAGCCACGTGGTCTCAACCTCTCATGGCTACTGTGTCTGGGTTTAAATCCCAGCACTAGTCTTCTCCTGCAGCTGCATTTCTGACTCTTCCTGCAATTGGCTACTCCTGCCAGCATTCCCGTATTTTTTTCAGCTTTCTGGGCTGCCATAGTAAGTCCAGGCAGGCATGGCCCTGTGGGCTCCAACCTCTCAGGCAGGCACTGTAACCAGGGGGAGTTGCCTCCCAGTTACTTCCTGGGTAGAAGTCACTCCCATGTCCCTGGCTCAAAGCATGGCTACAGCTATTTTAACATATCCATGAAACCAGTTAAAAGTTATAGATATTTTAAATGACCATGCCTGAGGTTAGTTACAAAACTGTTGGTATGCAGAACAACTCTCAATGGCCCTGCTCCCTGTGTCCCATCCCCCAGTTCAGACTTGTGGGGGTGAGGACATCCTATATATATATATATATATATTTTTTTTTTTAATATTTCCTGAGGACATCTTATATATGTATGTTTTTAATATTTCCTGAACCCAATTACAAATTCCTATTTGGGGGCCTCCTGGCTATACCCTCTTACAATATTGGCCAGTTTTTCCCACCAGTTCTTGTAGCATTTGTTGGAAATGCTTTCTGAGAGCCATAGTTTTTAATGGTTTAAGCAGTTTCTTCTGGGTAATAGCATCACTTTTCTATATATTCTAAATCTCTCTAGTGATTTCATACTGTTTTCATAAAATATTAATCAGGGATTCCCATGGCTCACAGAACAGGGAAAGACAATTAACTTACTATCACTGGTTTATTATAAAGGATACAATTCAGGAGCAGCCATGCATAGGCAAGGTAGTGGGAAGAGGAGTAGAGCTCATCTGTCTTCTTTTGATGTGTCTTTCTCCCAGCACATTGATGTGTTCACCAGCCAGGAAACACTCTGAACCCCGAGAGATTTAGAGGTTTTTTGGAGGTTCCATTATGTAGGCATGGATAATTAGATCATTGGCCATTGGTGATTAATTTGATCTCCAGCTCCTCTCCTGTGCCTGGAAGTCAGGGAGTGGAGCCCAAAGTTCCATCCCTCTAATCACATGGTCATACTCTGGCAACCAGCCCCCATCTTAAAGCTCTGTAGGGGCCCACCAAGAGTCACCTAATTAGCATAAACTCAGGTATGGTTGAAAGAGATTTATTATGAATAACAAAAGATCCTATCACTCAGGGAATTCCAAGGGTTTTAGAGCTTTGTTCCAGGAACCAGGATGAAAACCAGATACATGTATTTCTTATTATATCACAACATCACAGTACCCATTGGGCCTGCCATGCTGTGTTGCATATTTGAGATGATATAATTGAACAGGAAGCTCATTACTTCATGTGGTTGCAGAATCTAGTTGCAATCTGTTAACAGACCTAGTTGCATGATTCTTTATTTTGGGCTAAATTCCACTTCACTGTGATGTATACCCACAGTTTTGCTCTCTAGAATAGTATAGAACAAGTGTACTCACTCTTCTGAAAGACTGCCTTTTAGATAGAATTTTCTGGAAACCAGCTCTATCACTAATGTCCTTTGAAGTAAATCAGCTTGCAGATGGGTAGGTGTACTGAGGATAATGTAATTACTCTACACCAGTGATTGCCAACCTTTTCATCTTATGGCACACATAAATTGATTACTACAAATCTTCGGCACACCAGAAAATGTATTTTTTTTGCTGATCTGACAAAAAAAAATTAGGTATAATTTTGGTTCATTTACACTGAACAGCTGTTGTTATTTTGTCTGTTGTCATTTTTTAATTTGACAGTGTAAGAGAAAAGAGGTCAGTGTCCCAGACTAAATATTCATGTATTGCATGCTTTTCTTTTATTATATTTTATTGATTATGCTATTACAGTTGTCCTGAGTTTTCCCCCTTTGCCTTCCTCTGCCCAGCACCCCTGACTCCCTTAGGCAGTCCCCCCACCATTGTTCATGTCCATGGGTCATGCGTAGGTTCTTTGGCCACTCCATTTGTTGTACTGTACTTTACCTCCCCATGGCTATTCTGTAACTACCCATTTGTACTTAATTCCCTCACCTCTTCACCCATTCTTCCCCTCCCCCTCCCATCTGGCAACCTTCCAGTAACTAACTACTTTTCTCTTGCTTCTAAGAGTCTCTCTTAATCTTTAACCTTTGGCATTTTATTATGGTATGTCATGGAATGGGCCTCTTTGCATCCATTGTGTTTGGGACTCTCTCTGCTTCCTTGACTTGGATGTCTATTTTCTTCACCAAATTAGGGAAGTTTTTATTATTCTTTCAAATAGATTTCCAATTTCTTGCTCTTTCTCTTCTCCTTCTGGCACCTCTATGGTGTGCACGTTGGACTGCTTGATGTTGCCTCTCGAGCGCCTCCTACTGGGGACTTGGCCTACAACCAAGGCATGTACCCTGATTGGGAATTGAACCAGTGACCCTTTGGTTCGCAGGCTGGCACTCAGTCAATCCACTGAGCTATACCAACCAGAGTTTGATAGCCTATTTTAATAACCAACTAAAGATATTATGCTTAGAAATTCAATCTTCTATAATTTTCATTTCTGACAATTGAGTTTTCTACTATAGTTCAGTTAAAAAATCTTTCATTTATTAGTTTTTTAAGCTCATACCATAGGATAGGCACTGTGCTAGGCACTTGTTATTCTGAATTAAATAAGATATGGCTGCCTGGAAGAACAGGGAAAAACTGATACCTACCTACACACACCTGACTGACTTCTCTTAATAGATGCATAGACTTTAAAACATCTAGATTTGAATCCAACTTCTTTTTTGCAAAAAGGATGGCCAAATTAGTATCTCCTTGTTTGAAAATATCATTAAAGGGATCTTTATCTGTATAGTGTACAACTCAGATGTTCCTTTTTCCTTAGGCTTTTATTTTTTTTCTTGCCGTTTCCATAATTAAATGGCAAAATTCCCTCTCCTCACTAAAGTAGAGTGTTTTTTTTTTTCATACTGATACAATAAGTTTATCACTTCAAAAGCATAGACAACAATGAAATGTATAAAAATAATTACATAGTGTGAGTTTGATTACCTCCATTTAATCGTAAGTTTATATCATTATTTCATTTAGATTTTATTTATTTATTTTCAGAGAGAGGGGAAGGGAGGGCAAAAAAGAGGGAGAGAACATGGATGTACGAGAGAAACATTGATCAGCCACCTCTCACACGCCCCCAGCCGGGGACCTGGTCCACAACGCAGGCCCTGACTGGGAATCAAACCGCCAACCCTTCAGTTTGTGGGATGACACCCAACCCACTGAACCACATCAACCAAGGAAGTTTATATCATTTTTAAAAAATAATGGCTGTGGCCCTGGCTGGCGTAGCTCAGTGGATTGAACGTGGGCCTGTGAACCAAAGGGTTGCCGGTTCAATTCCCAGCCAGGGCACATGCCTGGGCTGCAGGCGAGGTCCCCAGTTGGGGGCGTGCAAGGGGCAACCACACACTGATGTTTCTCTCCCTCTCCTTCTCCCCCCTCTAAAAAAACAAATTCTAATTTATTGATTATGCTATTACATTTGTCCCTTTTCCCCCCTTCCCTCCCCTCCACCCTGTACCCCCCTCTCCCACCCACGTTCCCTCCCCCCTTTAGTTCACTTCCATGTGCAATTCTTATGAGTTCTTTAGCTTCTACCTTTCCCGTACTATTCTTGCCCTCCCCCTATCTATTTTCAACCTACATTCTATGCTACTTATTCTCTATACCTTTCCCCCCTCCCCCTCCTCCCACCCCCCCCTGTTGCTATCCCTCCATGTGCCCTCCATTTCTGTGGTTCTGTTCCTGTTCTAGTTGTTTACTTAGTTTCTTTTGGTTTTGCTTTAGGTGTAATTGTTAATAATTGTGAGTTTGCTGTCCTTTTACTATACATGTCTTTTTCTTTATCTTCTTTTCTTAGATAAGTCCCTTTAGCATTTCATAAAATAAAGGCTTGGTGATGATGAACTCCTTTAATTTGACCTTATCTGAAAAGCACTTTATCTTCCCTTCCATTCTAAATGACAGCTTTGCTGGATAGAGCAATCTGGGATGTAGGGCCTTGTCTTTCATGACTTGGAATATTTCTTTCCAGCCCCTTCTTGTCTGTAAAGTCTCTTTGGAGAAATCAGCTGACAGTCTGATGGGAACTCCTTTGTAGGTTACTGTCCCCTTATCTCTTGCTGCTTCTAGGATTCTCTCCTTCGTTTTTACCTTGGCTAATGTAATTATGATGTGCCTTGGTGTGTTTCTTCTTGGGTCCAACTTCTTTGGGGCTCTCTGAGCTTCTTGGATTTCTTGGAAGACTGTTTCCTTTGCCAGATTGGGGAAGTTCTCCTTTATTATTTGTTCAAATAACTTTTCCACTTGTTGCTCCTCCCCTTCTGGTACCCCCTATAATTCGAATGTTGGAACGTTTAAAGGTGTCCTGGATGTTCCCAAGGCTCTCCTCGATTTTTTTTAATTCTTATTTCATCATGCTTTCCTGCTTGGTTGATTCTATCTTCCTTCTGGTCCACTGTATTGTTTTGAGACTCAGATTCCTTCCTTTCTCTATTGGCTCTCCTCTGCGTATCTTCCTGCATCTCTTTTATGGTAACCTGCATCCTTTCATCTAAATTGCGCCCAAAATCAACCAATTCCGTGAGCTTTCTAATCACCAGCGTTTTGAACTGTGCATCTGATAGATTGGCTATTTCTTGGTCGCTCAAAAGGATGAGTCCTGGGGGACTGATCTGCTCTGTTGCACACATGTCTTATGTCTTTCCCTGTCTCTCCCCCCCCCCCCCCACTGGTCGCTCTTGTTAGGGTGGGGGGCGGAGCCTTAGGTGTTCACCGGGGCTGGGCGCCCCAGTCGCTAGATTGTGACATTATATGTGGGGGCGGGGGCGGGAGGGAATCAATGGCGGCAGTTCAATTCTCCTGGGCCCAGATCTTTCCCGGGGCTCCTGGGCTGCGAGCTCTGCCCTGGTCCACAATCGCTGCCCCACTGGGTCCGGCAGCCGCAGCTTGTGTACTCAGGGTCCACCGCTGCATTCCTGCGCCCCGATGGCTGTCGCGCCAATTCCGCACCAAATTTCCCCCGACCTCCGTGCGCTGCCGACCCGCGCCAGCCCCGCGCCTGCTCGGCTCGTTGTCTCCTACCAGTCTGGATGTACGGGTCTACTTCAACTTCTTGGCTGTCCGACTTCCATTCAGATGAATCCCCTGTCGGTTCTGGGTGTTATGCTGACTGTATTTTATTGTTGTTCTAATCTTGGTTGTGCGAGGAGGTACGGTGCGTCCACCTATTCCTCCATCTTGCCGGAAGTCTAAAGTAGAGTGTTTTTACTGTATATCAGGTAATTTTAACCAGGGTTCTGTAGACCTCACTATTTCTGGTGGCTTTGTGGGTCCATGAATGTTCCACAGTTACATCAAAATTGTTGAGTGTATGTACATGGATTCTTATGGTGAAGCGTCCCCTTAATTTTTATCAAATTCTCAAAAGATTCTGTTACCCCAAAAGATTAAGAACTACACTATTAAAATCTTATTTAATAAGCTTTGGCTTTTGATCATTTTGTACAATTTATTATTTAGATTTTCTTGTAGTAGGAAAGGGAAATTGAAAATGTTGTACTTCATAACTGCATATCTAAATTAGTAATACATCTTTTTTACTTTAATAGTTTTTGAAGTTGAAATTTAAACAGAATTTTTCTTTTATATTTATCTAACATATTAAAATCGTGCTGCAGTTTTTGTTGCAAATACATTTGTTTTTGCCTTCAGTACCGGGACCCTCTGGTGATAATGGCATCAGTATTACCATGATCTTGATGGCCTGGATGGTTGTCGCAGTCATCTTGTTTCTACTGAGGCCTCCTAATCTGAGAGGATCCAATCTAACTGGAAAGCCAACCAGTCCTCATAATGTAAGTGCTGTGGATTAGAAACCCATTGGGGGGTTTCTGGGAAGGGGGAGGAGTCTGTTTTGACAGAGTATCTGAATTAGAAAAAGGAAGATTTAATTCATGGAGTAAGTTCTTCATTTGTCATATCATCCTAGTAAATTTTGCAACCCCAAATGGCTTAGTGTTTGTAACTTTTACATATAGAGATAGAGATAAATATAGTAGCCCAAAAATAATTTTAAAATGAATTCCAGTCTCTTCTACTCACGTGAAACATAAAAAGTGATCCAGTTCATAATTTATAGCAATGTTTCCCAAATCTCGGCCCTTGTTCCCCAGTTATATGCACCTCAGTTGATCCCTTGCCTCTCATGCTTCCAGCTCTCTAAATTCTCTTTCAAATGTTTTTAGTTGACCTCATTTTCTCCCCTTGGTCCTAGCTATCAAATATAGTACAGACACTGCGCCTATCTGACTAAATCCTGCTTTCTTATCAATTTCTCTCAAACTGATTTTGCCGGTTCTGCCATCACTGTAGATCTACTGAGCTGGCAAAAGCAGAGGTAGAAATTACCCATTTTGATAAATTTTGATAATCATCATTATAACCATTTTTAGCATCTTCTAAATGAAAACCATGAAGTGAATCAACATGGAGTTTTTGGTATTATTTTTACTAGAACCTTCATTAAAGTATTCCTTTTAATCATTTTTAGAACCAGTGTGTGTGTGTGTGTGTATGTGTGTGTATGTAAGTAATATGTATATATGTGTGGGTATGTGTTTAATTTTTTTAAATTTTTTTTAAGACTTTATTTATTTTTAGAGAGGGAAGGGAGGAAGAAAGAGAGAGAGAGAGAAACATCAATGTGCGGTTGCTGGGCGCCGTGGCCTGCAACCCAGGCATGTGCCCTGACTGGGAATCGAACCTGCAATGCTTTGGTTCGCAGCCTGCGCTCAATCCACTGAGCTATGCCAGCCAGGGCTGTGTTTAATTTTTAAAATTTCATTTGGATATTGTCTCTTTAAAAGTATTTCCATGGCCCTGGCTGGTGTAGCTCAGTGGATTGAGCGCAGGCTGCGAACCAAAGGGTCACTGGTTCGATTCCCAGACAGGGCACATACACGGGTTGTGGGCCAGGCCCCCAGTGGCATCCACATGAGAGGCATCCACACTCTGATGTTTCTCTCCCTCTTTCTCTCTCCCTTCCCCTCTCTCTAAAAATAAATAAAACAAAAAAAAGACTTCCTTTAAAAAAAAAGTATTTCTGTGGATTCATTTGTTGAACACCAAATTATCCCACTAATTCCCTTCTTCAGCCTTCACCATGTGGAATTCTTAAAATATTTTTTCCTCAATATTGTGTTGTTAATATGAGAAAGAAGTTCAGTTAAACTAATTTCTTACGTAAGAGAAAGCAAATGTGTAATGTTAATTTGTCCGTGCTTTGGTTTTTAGAACTTAGATATGCAGCACACTGACTTTAAGAAAGGCTTCATTAGCAGTATATTAAAAGGTCTTAAATTTATTTATTTATTTTTTAATATTTTTATTTTATTTTCAGAGAGAAGGGAAGGTAGGGAGAAAGAGAGGGAGAGAAACATCAATGTGAGAGAAAAACATCTATTGGTTGCAAGCCCAAATGGCTTAATGTTTCAAAAAGAGAAACATCAGTTGGTTGCCTCTTACATGCCCCCAACTAGGGACCTGGCCCGCAACCCGGGCATATGCCCTGACTAGGATTCAAACCTCAACCTTTTGGCTCCCATGACTTGGGATGGGAGGGTGGGGATATTGCTACTCAGTTCTCACTATATGCGTTCGATTGGTTGTACTGGTGTTTAAGAATTCACCTTCATGATTTCTTTCTAATGCAGGGACAAGATCCACCAGCCCCTCCTGTGGACTAATTTTGTGATATGGGAAGTGAAAATAGTTAACACCTTGCACGACCAAATGAACGAAGATGACCAGAGTACTCTTAACCCCATTAGAACTGTTCTTCCTTTTGCATCTGCAATATAGGATGGTACTGTTTCCATGAGCTTCTAGAATTTTGACTTGCAAGCTTATTTTTTTTGCTTCCTTTGTTATTACCATTCCTATTCACAGTATATTTGAGTTAACGATTGTATTTTAAAAAGTTACATGGGTTATTTTGGTTATCCTAAACTCAAACATTCCACTTATTTTATTTGTGACGGTGAGCACAATTTTGGTGATGATTTCTGGCCTGATTGAAGGAATTTGTGATCTCTGCATTTAAATATTTGAGATAGTTTTGATAGGCTCTGAAGTTGATTTTTCCATAAGGTATTTATAAAGTTATTTAGGGTTGTCTGAGATTGTATGAAAGAAAATTAGAACCAGACTATTTCTACTTACCTTGGTAGTTTATTTGTGGGTGGCAGTTCTTGGGACTGTGGCAGCCTTTGGAATATTTTACAAGTTACACCCGAATCTGTATCATCCACTACAAGTGGCTTATGTGACTAGAAAAGGAGAAGTGAAATAATTGTTTACTAAGGTTTTTATTCCCATAAAATGTCTAATATTAAGAAAACTTTAAATAAAAATGATTTAAACATGGTGGATGAGTTATAATCCATTATATGATATTTGAAGCCACTGTATACTAGATAGCTTCACAAGATTCACGAAAGGAGGAAAATAGTTCATTCTTCTTGCCTTTGCCGGATATAATCTATACAGTAATAATTTAATCAGTAATTTATTTTAAAAATGGGTGCCTCTCAGAAAGCTTCCTTTCTGTCTGAGTACTTCCCTGTTAAATGAAACTCCTAAGGCTAGCTGTATTGGGGGTCTGTTTGCTTACTGACATTTGAATGCTATTTACTTATTCACTGTATTTTTTTCTTTGAAGAAAAGTATTGGAGTATTTACTTCAAAGTAAATACTTTGTATTGGAGTGTTGTTATTCTTCTGACTTAAAAAATATTTAATGAATTCTTGGTTTACCCCAAAAGGAGGGAAATGAGAAACAATCAAGGATCTTTTTCTTACCCTATATATTTCATTCCTGTTTGGTAACAGGGTGGATTGGGGTGTGGAGGAGCATTGATGTAGGTGAAATTTTGAACTGTATAGAAAGTAAAATGTTGCATTGTTTTGGTCAGTTTGAAAGAAAATGAATACAAATGCCATTTTAAAAAGTCTGCATAACCTGTGTGGTATAGATTTTTTCCTAGCAAGCAATTGCAGATGATTTATGAGGGCTAGAAGATATTTTTCTATCATATAAGGATTTTCCCCCCTAGACCTGTCTAGGTTTTCACTGTATTGATCTGAGAAATTACCTGTATGAATTGAATAAACTTCTCTATATCATTATACTGTTTAATAGAGTCTCTGATACAGCTGTGTGATGCTCTTAGGATATTTCCCCCCTTTATCATCTTTATATTCTGGGTCATAAACCTTGTAAGAGTTTCATTTCATTATATAATCCCATATTGACTGCTTGCCCTCCTCCTGTGCATCTTGGCTTTGTGCTCAGCTTCTTGAAAAAAATACAACCTATTCTTAATTACTCGTGCTAATCAGGGTATTATAACACAGGTAAGTCAAATCCCAGATAAATAAATACCATAAGGTTTTTCCTCTTGCTGTGGCCTAATGGAAACCTGCCCAGCTCTATAGCTTTTAAGGTACTTACAGCAGAAAGGGCAGGAATGGCATGTATAAACATTCCTATTTCTGCCCTTGCCCCCTGAACTTTGAATGCTTGCACATGTATCCTGAAGTCTGTCCTCTAAACTGCTAGAAGGGCAATCTCTGGTGGAGATCGTGATATATTCACTGAATCAACGGCTCACAAATTAATTGAGATCTGGCTTTGGTAGAAGACGTGGCTGTGACAGGGAAACAGTGTCTAGTGTTAGAAAGAGACCTGGAAATCTGGATTTTTATTCCTGGTTCCTCATTTCTGTCACATACATTTAATTGACATTACATCTAGAAGATTAACCTTTTCCTGTATGGATCATCTATTTAACTAGTAACAAAAGTTTTTAGTGGAGTATTTAATATTGTTTTTTGTTTGTTTGCTTGTAAAGTTTCTCTGCAGCCCTGAAAAGGATAATGTACAACTGCATATAAAATATTCCTGTTAACCTTACTGGTAATTTATATTCCTCTTAATTTCTTAAGCTTCTACATGTGGCCTTTTTATTGAGCGCATTCTTATTCATTACTTGGCTTGTAAACATTCACCTGAACTATGGCTACAATCATTTTTAAGTAATGTGGGGAAAAAAAGGAAGATAAATCTTCACACTTTAATCACCATGGGCTCTTAAACATTCCACAAATGCCATTAAGAATTTATTTTGTTTTACAGTCATTTAATGTTCTTTTATGCAAAATAGTGGGTTTCTTTGCCTTTCATATGGAAAAAGTTAACATTGGAACTGTGTATAGTAAAAGATTTTATTATATATCTATCCAAGCACTATCCCGTGATCAGCAAGTCATATTTTGAACAACTTGGAGATTTTCTGAAGTAACTATTAAGTCCAGCTATTCCGTAGTTACTTCTAGTGTCTTTGCGGTATGTGATGTGATAGTGTTTATGGAATTACCAAATTCTTACATTTTCAAAGGAACCTTGGAAATATATCACTCTGAATGAAAGTCTGTCACTCTAAATGAATATGTGCTAAAATTTGACCAGCTTGGTTTAAGATAATAAAACAACTTGAAGGAGAAATGGGAGGTTACAGTTAATGGGTGAAATTTTTGTTGTTCAAATAGTAGGTTTAATTTTAGCATCATAATATTTCTAAATGAAAAAAAAACATGTATTTGTTACCATGTCTGATTACTTTGTTAAAAGGAAACGTGGTCACATGCTATACTAAATGTTAATTGCTGTTTTCAAATGTTTAATCATGCCAAACAAATCATGTCTGTGCCATCCAGGGTTTATTGTCATCTTTTATTGAGTACTTGGATTGGGATAAAGGGCTTGTACTATGCACTTTTTATTAATGAATAAATAGAAAATGTTAGTAACACTTAATGTTTTCTGTTTGGCTTTTCTGGGAAGAGAAGCAAGTATCTCGCTTAGTAAGATGTTAACATCTTTATCAAGCAGCTTCTTTGTAAGACTTTTTACCCCTCACTAAAGATTTTCCTAAGAGAGAACTTTAAGTTATAAGAAAAAATATTTATATAATAGTAGTATGTGCCTTACAATTAATCCAGCAAGTGTAATTTTGTGGTTACAACATATAGAACCAGGTGTAACTCTACTACCAGAGCCTATACCCCCAATAGATGAGTTAAGATTCTTAACCTTCATTTTTATCTAACAACCGTAAAGACCACATATTTTACTGTTCTGTCTCACATTGCACTGTTAACATTTACTTTCCCAGTTTCATTAGCAACAGCCTATTGGAAGCCGCAGTCTCAGGCTTCAAGCATGAGTCTGTTAACCATTGCTAAATCAGAAAACACAAGGCTTAAGAAAATCTTGGGCTAAGTAATATTGAAAATTATTAATGGGGTGGTGATGAACACACAATATAATATGTAGATGATATATTACAGAATTGTACCCCTGAAACCTATATAATTTTATTAACCAATGTTCCCTAATAAATTCATTTTTGAAAAAGAAAGAAAATTATAGTTTCTCCATTGAAGAATAAATTGGGCTGATAATTTTCTCCCTCCACAACATCCAAGCTATTTTTCCACTGTCACAATATTTCAAGAACTTAGTCACACAGGTGTAAACTGGTAATGCTACAGAACAGACCTGGGGCTATGAGGTCCCTCTGTCACTGTGGATTCTTAGCCCACCACCATGGAATTGGAATTATTGCTTTCAATGCCAGAGTTTGGTGAAAAGGAAAGGAACTATTTATTTAAAAGTTATATAGAGTAATGACTTAATGTCTTCCTTAAAATTACAATGTCCCTTTAAACACCCACGAACACACACAATCCATCCTTTCCCCTTTGCCCTGGCATGCTAGTTTTGGATACCATATCTCAGGAAAAAAAAAATAGAAGTCCGCAGCTCACTTCTCCCTGTTCCTCTCAGTCATCTGTGCTTGGCTGGTAGGTCTCTTGCAGTTCCCAGCACCATCAGCTGTGTCGCTGGAATCTCCAGTTCTTAATTCAAAACCTAGTGGCACCTTTTCAAGGCCCACCAGCAGGAGCCCTTTCACCCCTTTCCTTCCTGCACTGTCTCTTCTGCATTTTTCCAAATTGCTAAGAGAGAGCTCTGCATGGTTGCTACATTTTGCTGTCCATGCTTTCCAAGCATGGTTCCAACCCACATGGCTGCTGCGCCTGGGTTTAAATCCCAGCGTGAATCTTTCTCTGCAAACCCATTTCCAACTCTTCCTACAATTGGCTATATCTACCTACCAACACTCCCATGTTTTTTCAGCCTTTGTGGGCTGCCATAGTTAGTACAGGCAGGTGTGGCCCCATGGCATGGAGTGAACCATCTCCAAGCTATCATGCAGGTGCTGTAACCAGAGGGAGCTGCCTCCCAGTTCCATCATGGGTCAAAGTCACTCCCATCTCCCTGGCTTAAAGCATGGCCACAGCTACTTAACATATCTATGAAGCCAGCCAGCAGTTATAGATGTAAAATAATGATTTTTGCATATCAGGTATGAAGCTGGCCAACTGTTGATATGCAAAACAACCCTTAATGGCCCTGCTCCATGTGTCCCATCTCCCCCCACCACCCCATTCAGACTTGTGGGGGTAAGGATATCCTATATATTTCCTGGACACCTTGAGTTCTGGACCCCACTGCAAATCCCTCTTTTTGAGGGGGGTCCCTGGCTGCACCCTGTTACACTTTACTGAATAGTCTTGTAAATTTTATCCAGTCTCCCTAAAAAAATCGAGTAGTCCTGCATAATATTCAAGTTGCTTTTTAAAAGAATGAAGGTCATAATTTATCTGGCATCTTCTGTTTGGAATTCAGAACATTCCATCATAGGCCAAAATGTTTTCTGCTTCTAACTCTCAATTTCAGTCTTAACAAAAATAAGTATAAAACAAGGAAACATAGATTTGAGGTGTCTTGGTTAATCACTATAGGGGACATCCCCAAAACTAGAATTCAGTTTATCTTTTTGTTTGGCACACGGGAATTTTACCCCTAGGGAATAGATACATACAGTGAGGTTTCGTTTGGGTGAAAGGTAAGCCTTTCTTTTGAAAAAAGGATTATTCTCAGGTAGATCACTTTTGGGAAGGGGACCCATAGCAGTTGAGGAGCTGGAAACTGGTTCCCTTAAATATATCTGCACAAATTACTGTCAGCGGCCAGAATGGTGTGGCAGGGAAGGGTGGGGGGCAGTATTACCCAAGTCCTATTGCTTTTATTCCCCCATTATATCTCAAATTGGTTCATTTCTCTGAATTTTCACGGCTACTGTCCTGGACATGCTAGTTCTAATTCTGGACAGAATTACTTCTGAATTGCTCTCCCCACATTCACTTTTTATTCCTTTAACTACCCTCTTCATTTCCCCTAGTTCACAGGTGGCAAACACAAGGCTCGCGGGCCAAATCTGGCTCTCCACTTTGTGCAGCAGCGCTGAGCTCCTTGCCCCTGGTTAAGGAGTAGTTACATGTATACAGTCCTAACATTACATTAGCCCTTTGAAGGCAACTGCGAGGTTGATGTGCACCCCGCACCCCCCACCCGTGAAAATGAGTTTGACACCCCTGTGCCCAGTTAATGCCTGGGTTTCACCTTTAGGAGCTTAATTACCACAATTTGAGAAAGCATTCCTGACCTACTATGTTAAATACTCCTATTGTATATTCTCATTAGGACTATGTATCTCTCCTTAATAAGTAAGTAATTTTACATTTATCTGTGTGATTGATATTTCCCCACAGAGTAGAATTTAGGGCAGGAACTGCATCATTCTTTATTCACAATTCCTAGTGACTAGCACAATAGTACCACGTAGTTAACACTCAGAGGAAATAATGAATGAATGGTTTTAAATTGTTAAGAGGAAACTTTACAAATTAAAATCCTACATAAAAATTGATATAGTAAGCCGATAACAGTAGAACTGCTCTGATTTGGAGGAGGGAGAGATGTAGGAGACAGAGTCCTGTGTGCTTTAACCTCCCACTTAATCTTCTTTCTTCACAGACTGACACACCACAAGAAAAACACCAAGTTCTCACACTGTTTATTCATAGGACTGCTTTACACATCTTAAATTTGAAGACCCCAAAAGTTTTTTCATGTTTATTGGTATTTACCCTATTAGAAATGAAAGTTGGTAAATTATGAAAAATCCATTAATTCCTTAAAGGTGACTAATAGTCTATTACATATTAACATAAATAACACATTCTTTTTTTCTTTAAGATTTTACTTATTCCTGGCTGGCTGTAGCTCAGTGGATTGAGCACGGGCTGCGAACCACAGTGTCTCAGGTTCGATTCCCAGTCAGGGTACATGCCTGGGTTGCAGGCCAGGACCCCCAGCAACCGCACATTGATGTTTCTCTATCTCCCTCCCTTCTCTCTCTAAAAATAAATAAATAAAGTCTTAAAAAAAGATTTTACTTATTTATTTTTGGAGGGAGAAAGAGAGGGAGAGAAACATCAATGTGTGGTTGCCTCTCACGCACCCCCTACTGGAGACCTGGCCCACAACCCAGGCATGTGCTGATAGGGAATTGAACCAGCAACCTTTTGGTTTGCAGGCTGGCACTCAATCCACTGAGCCAAACCAGCCAGGGCTAAATAACACATTCTAATTAAAATTACTGTATTGCCAAGTAAAAAGTCTATAAGAAGATTGGAATTGCTTGACATTTTGGAATTATAAAAATCTGCATTCAATCTGTTACAATGTCAACAAGCCTCTGGAAAATTCTGTACGTTTGTGACACAAATGAGAGGGAATAAAACAAGTAACACTAGTTTTACCATGAAAATGTGTTTTTTTTTAAAAGATTTTATTTATTTTTAGAGGGAAGGGAGGGAGAGAGAGAGAGAGAGAAACATCAATGTGCGGTTGCTGGGGGTCATGGCCTGCAATCCAGGCATGTGCCCTGACTGGGAATCGAACCTACGCCACTTTGGTTCGCAGCCCGCGCTAAATCCACTGAGCTACGCCAGCCAGGGCCCATGAAAATGTTTTGACTTCCTGGATCCCTTGAAAGGGTCTCCAAAATTGTTAGCACATTTTGAGAATGGCCGTACTAGACCTAAAGGTCCATTCTAGTTAATATTGCTATTCTGACTTCCAAGAACTTACTGTTGTGAAGATTATGATTATCAAAATACAAAGAATGTGAAGTGAATTATAGGTAGAAAAATATATTTTAAAAAGGTGAGAATAGAAAAGTGGTTTTTATTATAAGCCCAATTGTAATAGGTAACTTAAACCTATGTATATGCCAAGTTCAAAATGATACCTCTATTATAGTGTTAGTCACATACATTGCAATTATGTATGTCATCATTTCTCCTCTTGGCCTGTGAGCTTGGAAGAAGACCCAATGGTTTTGATTCATTTTGTATATGTGATCTCTAGGATAGTCTAACATTAAATATTTGATGGATGAATGAACTTAACTGTATAGAATGTATACCATCTACATGTACTATCACACTTTCTATAATTCACAGCAAATTATTGTATTTAGTCAACATTCATCAGCTTTTTGAAGTTTGCTCACGATCCTAGCTTCATCATGATCCTATGAAGAAAACCATCATCTATGTGGTATTTTAAAGTGTCTTTATAAACTCATCACTTTCCCCACGACGTATTTAAAAATACTTTGACTTTAAGTACAGGTCAGGTCATCTGATGTAATTCTTAATTTAATGAGGGAAACCAAAAGTCATGACTGCGTTTATTTGCGGCTTAAATGACCTTGGGGTGGGAAAAGAGAAACAGAACTCCCCTCCACATTAGAAGTGGGCAGACTACACCTGTTAATTTTACCTTCTCTCGTACACGGCACTTAACATGTTGCATACTCTACTACATATCACGCAG